AGGGCCCCGGCTTGGTCAGAAAGGGTTGCCCACCTTCAGTCCGTCTCTGCATGGGCCATGAGCTGGGGCAGTGCCCGTGAGCTCTCACCAGCCCCAGAGTGAGGTTAGAGCTGCTTAGCACGGGCTCCAGTGAGCACCCATAGGGCCCTGAGGTGCAGCCTTCCCAGGGCCCACACCTGTCCCTGCTTGAACCCTCAGATCATGCTGTCACCAGAAGCACGGAACACAGCGTGGGTGTCCTTTGATGGCCGGAAGAGACAGGAGATCCGCCATGGAGACAGGTGCGGGTGCTTGCTGGGCCCGGTGCTGCTTACACCTTGTGCACACCCTGCCTGCCCAGTGTGGTCCCTGGAGTGCCAGAGACCTGAGCATGGCTCATTCTGGGACTGGCTATACCCAGCTGTGGTGGGTCTATGGTCCTTTGCCCCTGCCCACACCTGCAGCTCACACAGGCCCTGGGCAACGTGCATCAGCTTCCTGGACTGTCCCCTCCACAGCCTGGTGTGCTATCCAGCATCAGGGCTGTGGCCTCTCCTAAGACTGAGGGACATGGGCTTGTGGCTGTCCCATCACCATTGAGAACTCCTTCGGGGGAGTGTTTCCCTGGCCCTTGGGGGGTGGGGGGGGATCAGAGACCTGGGGCTGGGTCACAAGGAGGGATCTCTGCAGGTTGGGTCAGTGCCGCGGGTGTGGCTTACCCAGCTATGTCGCTTTCTCTTGTCCACAGCATCAGCATCACTACCTCTTGCTACCCGCTGCCCTCCATCTGCGTGCAAGACCCTGTGAGCGACTGGTTTGAGAGCCTGGCGCAGTGCCTGCACTGGAATGTGCGCAAGAAGCAGGCCCACTTCCCCGAGGAGGAGGAGGGCGAGGGCGGGTGTGTGGGCTAGGCCAAGCTCCTGTGCGGGCACACTGGCCAGAGCCCCAAACCCTCCCGGGTCTGCATTCCCCTTCCTGCCTTCTCATATGCCCTCCGGGGACAGACCAACCTGTGTGTGCGTGTGAACACGTCTGTCTGTCGCGGTCACGAGCCGCCTCTGTCTATTGTCAGGAAAAGCCTGTGTCTGCCTTTGTTGACCAGATCAGCTGTTTTTTGTTTTTTTTTAATGTTTTAAATCTGACTTCTTTTTCGCATTTCTAATGGAGCAAAGTGAGAACCGGGCTGAGGACCATCTGCACAAGGCCCCCCCCACCCTTGCTGGTCTTGGTGCTGGCTGCCTGCCCCCTCCCCCCCCCGGGCTCTGTGATTCCACAAGTCAGTCTACTGAATGAGAAGGTCAGGAAGACTTGATCTGTCCTTTGATGTTGAAAATAAATGTCTCCGCCAAGCATCTTCTTGAGCTGCCATGCTTCTGCCCTTGGGCCTGCACTTCCTGAAGCTCTTCTGGGAAGGGGCCTAGGCAAGCCGCAGCCCAGAGGGGTCTGGATGCTGACTGCGAGGCAGGCTGGCTTTGCCCTGGTTTCTGAAGAGGTTTCTTCCCTGCTCGTGTCAGCACCAAGTCTGGCCGGACACCCCCAGCATTGAGCCAGAGGCCTCTGGTCCACTCCCAGAGCTGCTGTGTGGCCCAGCATCCCCAGAGGGCTGTCAGACATCCTGGGCTGACACACATTCCTCACGCAGCTTCAGCTCCCAGGAAGATGTTTTAAATCCTACATATACTTTTTAGAGATTCTTATAAACTTTCTGAAGTGCTTACGTACATATTTTCTTGTACACACTTTTACGAAGACCCTGCTGATGTTTACACTGTGTCCTGCGTGGCGCTGTCCAGCTTCCCGCAGCCCTGATGGTCCAGGAGAGAGCCGTGTTTGAGCCGGACAATTGCAATGAGAATTTTGAGACAAAACAGAGAATACTCCTGTGAGCCCCCTGCAGAGAACCAGGAGTCACTTGAGAGCGTGGTGTGGTGCCTGTGGTAGTCTCCACATGGGAACAGCACCCTGGGTGCCATCCAGCAGGAGTCCCAAATGCAGGCTGTTTTTAAGTAGCTGCTCTTAGAGGTTTGCCCAAGAAGTCACCCTTCTCATTATTCAGTGGTGAGAACAGGAGAATGAGGACCCTTTTATGAAGTGCAGCTCAGGCCCTCGGCATCATTGAAGTTGAGCGTCTTAAGACGCTGAGTATGATTCTGGGCAACACTTAAGGGGCAGAGGGGCTGCCCATGACTCTGCGTGCCAGCAGGACCTCCACCTGCCACCCACAGGCTGAGGGGAAAGGGCCCCAGTACCTCAGCTTTAGGCCCAAAGACAGTGGTATTTGGAATTCCAGTCCCTTACCTAAAAAAAGCAGATGTTAAATTTTGTCCTAAAGCAGCATGAGATTGGAATGATCTAGAAAATTCTGGATTTTTGAAGTGAATCTTAATGTTTCATATCGTTAATATCTTGAAAATTTGTTAAATGTTGAAAGCCTTACTACTATTTTCAGATCCTTTCAATAAACAGACTTGTAAAAAATCCTGGGTGATTAACAATTTTCTTCTGGCTCTTTGTCCTCAGCCTGGAAGCTCTGGGGGTGGGAGGTCTCCATCCAGACTGCCTGCCTTCACATGCCTCCCCAGCCCCCCCCCAACATTGCATCCTATCCCAAAAATGCTCCCTCAGCCTTACTAGTGGCTCCTTGGGGTGCTGGGCTTGGCTGGGAGTCCTCCCTAGAGAAACACTACATGGGTTCTGGGCTGGGGCACAAGTGCTTCCTCTTCAGGGAGGGCAAAAGCCCCCAGTCTGGACAGGGACAGACCCTGAGATAGGCATGTCATCAACTTGAGTTTTGTTGCCCCTGAGAAGGGCCTTGAGATTAGATGGTGTTGAGTCCCTGGACCCCCTACTGCCAGGCAGGCTAGGAGGGTACATGCTAGCCCAAGTGACTGGGGCAGGAGCAGGCGGGGGCCTGGGTTTCACGGATGTTAGCACATCAGCCTGGCCCAAGTCGCCCTAACTAGGCACACAGGAACCTGGGGCTTTGCCAGACCAGGAGAAAAGGGAATAATCACCCCACCACCACTCCCCCCGGCATCTGCTCCTCCCCCAGCTGCCCTCCTTGGCCAGTCCCAAGCATCCCTTCCTCACTGGCCTGGGCAAAAACTGATGGACGACAAAGCCACAACCTTCCTCGCCTTGGGGAGCACAAAGGAGGAGGGCACAGCCCCATGCGGCTTCGCGTGTGTCCCAAGCCCCAGGCTGCATCATGCTTGCCGTCTTCATGGCCTCAATCTTGGAAACCTTCTGTGCGAGCGGGCATCATCCAGTGTCACCCCAAGTGCCCTGTTCTGGGCTAGCCCCAACCTGCCCACCTAGCCGTCCCTGAGCACAGCTTCCTGTCCTTCAGCAGTGACCCACCAGGAAAGAGGCTCCCAGGGCTCCCGGCCGCCATCGCAGTCTCTGAAGGACGGAAACGCAGTTACAAGAAACGTTAAGACCTCACTGGGAAAACCTGATAACAGTTTTTACAAATTTACTTTTTAAATTATTTGGTTACAACTGACTTGCCAACGAAGCTGGTGTCCTGCCCTCGTGCGAGTCCCAGTTTCACCTCCCCTCCCTAAATTTCCCGTGTTTTGGCCTAAATGGAAAAGGCGTCCCCACACCCGACTCCTCCAGGACTATCCCACCGGAGACACCCCGGGGGACCCAGGAAGGGGCGTCGTTGTCTGTCCTGCCAGGAGGTGAAGGAGAAACTTCATGAATTTGGAAAAAAGTAAAGAAATAAGGTCTAACAAAACTGAAGAGTTCTCCAACTGTAATCTTGCCCCCCACGACCCAGGGGAAAAGTTATCCAAGGCGGCATAGCCCCCGACCCCAGCGCAGGTGCTTCTGGCACGCAGGTGCCAGGACGACCCACGCGCCCTAAGCGGCCCCACCCTGGAGCGCCGCACAGCTCAGCCAATCAGCGCTCCGGAGCGTGGCCTCGGCACGCCCGGGCCCCGCCCCATGAGGCGACTTTCCCAGGTGTACGAGACGCTCCCAAGGAGGCTGGGCGCAGTGATCATCTCCTTGTCTTCTTTTACGTTAGGCCCATTCGGTGGCTTTTCTGTTAGTTGAAGACAACAGTCGGGCGCACAGACTTGGGGTTCTTAGAGGCCAGCACCTCTGCAGACCGTTCAGACCCCGCTCGTGGGTGCCACATGGTTTCCCCAACGGCCTAGCCTCAGTGGAACGGCCCAGGAGATGTCAGAGCCAGCCGCGGGGGGCGCTGTGGCTTAAGCTCCCGGCCGCGGTGAACCTGTCCGGAAGGCACTAATGCCAGCCACAGAGGTCGCTGTAGCTCAGAAGCAGTATTTCCCCCTGCCCGGCCGCGGTGGAATGGCCCGGGAGATGCCAACTTCGGCTTCGGAGTGGGGGGCGCCGTAATTCAGCAGCTATAACGTCCCCTCCCGGTTGCGATAGAACGTCCCGACAGATGCCAACTTTGGCTGCGGGGACGGCGCTGAAGTTCATCAATACAATGACCCCATGCCTGGCCACAGTGGAATACCGCGAGAGAATACAATGTTCACCTGTCCCTCCGTGGTGGACCCGCTCGGAGATACCAAGTTGGGCTGTGAGGCGGGGGCACTGAGGTTCAACAGCGAAACGTCTCCCTTTTCCACCTCAGTGGAATGGCCCAGGAGATGCCAACTTCGGTTCGGGGGGGGGGCTCTGTAATTCAGCAGTACCGTGTTCCCCCTCCCAGACGTGGTGGAACGACCCCGAAAGGTACAAACGCGGGCTGAAAAGAAATTCTGTGGTTCGGCAGCAACCAGACCTTCCCGGAGGATGCTACTGCCGGCCACGGGAGGTTCCAGGCTCAAATCAACGTTCCCCTTCCCTTCGGCTGCGGTGGAACGGCCCAGAGGATACCAACGCTGGGTGCCGCGTGTCCCCTGCCCCTGTGTGACCGTGGACCAGTCCGAGAGTACCAAAACCGGCCGCGGGGGGGCGCCGAACTCCATGAGCCGAGATTGACCGGTCGGGACGGTACCAACGCCGGCCGCGGGGGGCGCCGCGTTCAGCAGCGCGCTCGGGGCACTAAGGAGCGGGGCGCCCGCGGGGAGGCAAGGAGCTCGCCGCTGCTTCAGGCGTGTCACCACTGGTCCCGCGGGCGCCCCGCGCACCCCATCGGGGTCCGCCTCGCGGGAGGTGAGTCGTCTGCTCCCGCCACCCGGACGCCGCTCCAGCGCCGTAGGCTCCTGTGCTACCCTCCGCGGCCCCGCGGACGACGACGTCCGAGCCGCTCGCCCTCAGGCTCCGCCCCCGCCGAGCGCAGCGCAGAGGCCCGCAGGCCGCGTGGATGACCGCCAGCGAGGCCGAGGGCTGCGGGGCGGTCTCCCCGGGGTGCAGGCTCAGGTAGGCAGCCGGGCGGGGGCTGCACCTGCCGGGCCCGGCCCAGGGGGGCGCGGAGAACGGGCGAGGAGCGAATCACCGCTTCTCTGAGGCACCTTCTTTGTTGCTAGGCTTTTAAAAAGTTGCTTTTTTTTGATTAGAGTGTTACATACTTTACCAACATTTAAATTTGCAACTAACATTTTAAAGCAACATTAAGAGGGGCGTTAAAAGCGGAAATGAGAAGATTTGGCGTTCAAATCATTCTTTCTCAAAGTAGACAAATCAGAAAAAGGAGAGAATTAAAACAGTGAGTCTGAGACACCCCCTACCACAGCTAACGGCAGGGCTGGAGCGAGTGCAGTGTGACCTGCACTCCGGTTCATTCGTGGCCAATAACTCACCTACACCCCAGGTGTAACCACGCTGGAACCCTGTGGTGGGCACTTGGTAGTTTCTGGATTTTCAGGGTTTTTTGTTGTTGTTTTTTCTTTTTGAGACAGTCTCAGGCCATACACCTGCCTTGGCCTCCCAGAGTGCTGGGATTACAGGCGTGAGCCACCGCACCCAGCCCTGGATTTTCAATTTTTAAAGTAAAGCTGATTGAACATCCTGCATGTAATACAAGTATGGCTCTTTGTCAGGCGGTTTTTGTAGGATAAAACATCAGAGGTGGAATTTCTCAGTTACATCATTTGTTTCAGCTGTGTGCAGCTGACCTGGAAGGCAAGGTTGAGGCCCCCACATTACAGAGGCTGAGGTGGGAGGATCAAGTGAAGCCAAGAGTTGGAGCCCAGCAGACTCCAACTCTACAAAAAATAAAAATTTTAAATATTAAAATGCCTGAACCCAGACACTGTGGCTCATACCTGTAATCCTAGCACTGTGGGAAGCCAAGGCAGGTGGATTGCCTGAGCTCACAGGTTCCAGACCATCCTGAGTAAGAGGAAGACCTTGTCTCTAAAAATATCGGAGTGTTGTGCCAGGCACCTGTAGTCCCAGCTACTTAGGAGGCTGAAGCAAGAGAATTGCTTGAGCCCAAGAGTTTGAGGTTGGTGTGAGCTATGATGCCACGGCACTCTACTGAGGGCAACATAGACTGTCTCAAAAAAAAAAAAAATACCCTTCTGACCATTTGAACCAGATGTCAGAGCACATCCGGTTCTGTTTAGAGCAGGGACCAACCTGGGACCATGACCTCAAGTCCACAGGCCTGAACTCAGAGGCCTGTACAGCTGGACAGAGTGAAAATGAAACTTTCTCAGCAGATTGGAGCTGAGACTTCCTCAGTGGTCCCAGCCCTTCCTTTAAATCCTGGCCTCTTCCCAGCTGGTCCTGAGGACAGCCCCCTCAGGCAGCACAAAGGGAGAAGTGAACCATGAGCTCTGTGCTGGAGGGGCACTGGGGCTCAGCTCTACCGTGTGCCCGATCCTTGATTTATGACCCAAGGTGGAAGGCTAAGACTCTGCAGTGGCAGCTCACACAAGGTTACCATTCTGGCCCCTTCCCAGGCTGACAAGGGGCTGCTAGATGTTGGCTCTCACGAGCAGTTTATTGCTGCAGATTAGGCCAGCGACCTTCAGTCTTTCATGGATACAAATTATCTTTCTCTGAAAGCAGCTGGAATCCTGTGCCTGAGAAGGAAAACAAGCCACACCCAAGGGCCACATCCAGGAAGGCTGCAGTGACTCCAGCCAGGACTAAGTGAGTGGGCTTCTGGGCTGGGGTGCCCAGGCCACTCTACAGCCCCTCTTGCTTTCCCTCATGGTGCTGAGATCTGGGTCCCCTTGCCCTGACCCTCTGGGCTACTCACAGGTGACAGTGCTGCCACCCTCTCATCCCATCACCTGCACTGTGCTGGCCTGAGTATTGTCTGACAGTCAGGGTTAGGATTAATTTAGGATGGCTATGGGTGTTCCTTTTTTATTTTTTATTTTTTTGAGACAGAGTCTCAAGCTGTCACCCTGGGTAGAGTGCTATGGCATCACAGTTCACAGCAACCTCCTACTCTTGGGCTTAAGTGAGTCTCTTGCGTCACCTCCCAAGGAGCTGGGAGTATAGGTGCCCACCACAATGCACAGCTATTTTTTGGCTGTAATTGTCATTATTGGTTTGGCAGGCCCGGGCTGGATTCGAACTTGCCAGCTCTGGTGTATATGGCTGGCACCTTAGCTGCTTGAGCTACAGGTGCAAAGCTTGGGGGTTCCTTTTTATTACTGCTCAGTATCCATTTGAAAATGCCATACTTTATGTTTCCATTCTGCCGATAGAATGTTTTCCATGGTGTCTGTGTGGTCACAGACCAGAGGCTTTGCTGGGAACATCCTGTCCACCCTAGAGATGCCACAGGGCAGTCTCTAGGGCAGGGCTGCTGACTTGGACTGTGTCTCCTCACCCTTTTTCAGGAGCTGCCAAATTGTTTTCCAAAGAGCTTGTACCAGTCCACGGCCACTAGCCAACACGTGAGTACATCTCCACTCAGATCTCCCCACCCCTCTCAGTGGTGCTAGGCTGTTGGGGATCACTAGTAAGGCTGAAGCCTGCAGGGCAGCCTCTGAGGTGACCCTGTGTTCCTATGGGCCTTCCCCAGGGACTCACACCTGGACAGCAGATGTGAAGGCCATTAGGCCATTACTTCCTAGATGAGGCTGCAGAAAGACTCAGGGCTTCATTTTGGGCCTTCCCTCTCACTTCCTGGATAGCTTGCTCTGACAAATGCCGCTGCTGGCTTTCAAGGTGTCTGTGGAAAGGCTCACATGGCAGAAAATGGATGCAGCCGTCCAGCTGCAGCCCTGAAGATTGAGACTCCTGCCTTGGCCTTGGCAGCATAGCTGGGGCCTTGCAGCTCTGGTCGAGCCCTCAGGTGACACCACAGCCCTGGCCAGCAGTGAGACGTCAGCTCCACAAGACACCTGAGCCAGCCTTGTGTCTCCCACATCTGCGTGACTGTGAGGGGGTGAGTCTGGGGCCACCTGTCACATGATGGCAAACAGTGAATACAGCACTCTGTCCTGTAGTTGTTAGATGTTCAGAAATTCTTTTCTGTGAAATATGTTTCTGCTTGTATTTCTAACTAACCTGTGGGAATTCTTCATACTTTGTTGGTTTGAGAGAATCTTTTCCCAGGTTGTGACCTCTGATTTCCCTTTGGATTATATTTTAATGAACGAAAACTTCATTTAGTCAATTTAGTCCATTTCATTCTTTTTTTTTTTTTTTTAATAAGTCATGCTTTGGAGTTTGAAGGTTTTTTTTATACTTCAAGGTCAGAAAAATGTTACTTTATATTTTTTCCTGATCATATAGTTCTTGACATTTAAGTCTCATAGGAGAGCAGACTTTGGAGCCAAGCTGCTTGGCCCAAATGGTAACCCTGCCTCTAGGAAGCTGTCTTCTCATTCTGCATGTCCCGAGGGCAGCAACAGTGCCTTTCTCAGAGGGCTCCTGAATATATGTTTGTCAATGTGTGTAAAGTCAGAGACTCCCAGCACTATAATGAGTGCTGTGTAAATGTCACTAGTTTGTTTATTTATTTATTTAGAGACAGAGTCTCATTCTGGCCTAGAGTGCCGTCCTGGACTTAAATGATCCTCTTGTCGGCTCAGCACCTGTGGCTCAGTGGCTCAGGCACCAGGCACATACACTGGAGCTAGAGGGTTCGAATCCAGCCTGGGCCTGCCAAACAACCATGACAACTACAACCAAAAAACAGCTGGATTTTGTGGTGGGCACCTGTAGTCTCAGCTTCTTGGGATGCTGAGGCCAGAGAATTGCTTAAGCCCAGGAGTTGGGGTTGCTGTGAGCTGTGATGCCACGGCACTCTACCAAGAGCAACAAAGTGAGACTCTGTCTCTAAATAAATAAATACTGATCCTCTTGTCCGAGCCTCCCAAGTAGCTGGAACTGCAGGTGGCTACCACCACATCTGGCTAGTTTTTCTATTTTTAGTAGAGACAAGGGTCTCGCTCTTACTGGGGCTGGTCTTGAATTCCTGAGTTCAAGATGTCACTGCCTCCCAGAGTGCTAGAATCATAGGTGTGAGCCACCACAGGGGGTTTGAAGGTTACTTATTATTTGTCTACTGATGTGAGATCAGGATCCAGTTCTTGTAGGCTGATTTTTTACAGGAACATTCCTGCCCAGGTTCCCAAACAGATCTGTTTGTGCAAACCTGCTTAGGGCTGATTGGTCAATGCAGCTGAACCCTGATTGGTTAAGGCAGTGAGTGCCATAAGTTCCCACTGTAAACAGAATTGTGAGTTTGAGGACTCAAACTCGGATGAACCCTTTAAGGAGCAAATGGCTGCTTGTCCATCTGTGAATTTCGACTCTGTCCACCCTTCAGGGTGGATCTCTGAGGTCGCTCTCACTCTCTCAGCCTATGCACACTGGGCCTGGGTCCAGGCGATCTGCGCCTTCGTCTTTGAGCTCTCCTTCTTTTTCTGGCTCAGATAACATACAAGGAGGCCCATGTTGTGTTTTCCCCACCCTTGCCCTGGAACCGGCCTATGGACAACGCTATAAACCAGGGCGCTGCAGCCCCTCGGCAGGCAGAGGTGAAGCACAAGTGTGTGGCAGGTATGGCCTCTTTACATCTCCCTGCCAGGCCAGTACTGCAGGCTCTCCCGCCTTTATGTCTGTGTTTATGTCTGCCTTCACTTACAGTAGGAAATCTGCCTCCCGTTTCCTACCTGTGCTTACTTATTTGCTCGATTCAGAATTCCCAGACCGTGACTCAGTGACAAGTGTTCAGTGTCTGTTTGGAATCTTTTTGTCTTTAATTTGAGCGCATGTATTTCAGACTCTGTGCTTAGAAGTTGCTTGGGAGAGCTCTTTTTCCCCACTCTTTGGTATAGTTGTGTTAATTCATTTAATTCATGGTGTGGTTCTATATTTCTGTTTGTATTCCATTTTAGAGATCTTTTTTCCTACACTTATTGATTTATTTTTGTTTTTTTTGTTTTTTTTTTTTTTTTTTGAGACAGAGCCTCAAG